ACTATTTAGATCTATAAAATGTTATAGCGTGGTTGAAACGCATTTATCAAACACATACGCGTGTGTGTTCAGTGCAGCACAACAAAGCCAATTCTAAAATCAAAATCGTCACCAAGTAATAATAATATATTCAAATCGCTACAAAAAAGGCTCACCACTTTAAATTGTGGCTCATGATTACATTTTATAATTGAAAAACTGCGAATAAGGTCACGGTATTAATAATAATTATGATCCGTATTTGGAAAACATCATACTAATAACAATACAAAAAAATAACGACAACAGCAATTATAATAAAAAAACCTCAACATCTTCCACAGTGGCATTAGTAATAATACATTGAGAAATAATAATATTACATTCGGCAAAAAAATGAATAATAACATCGATACCAACTACAACAACCTCCCCTCCCTCCCCACGAGAAAGAGCAACAATAAATATGACGATAGCAACACTGACATTGATAATAAACATAATTACAAGATTTTGTAATGCGATAAAACCCCACCCGCCGCCACCTGTGACCGAACGCGGGACTAGGACTCACGGACGGAGTGCTCAGTGAAGTACTTCGACTCGAAACGACACCGCGGTCACGATGAATCTCCTCCCCGCCTTCACGTAAGACTGTTCGCTACCCTCCTGCGATGAGTGAGCCCGAGACGTTTCGCGTCCGTGACACGCGCGTAGCGCGGAGCGAGTGCCAGCCGCCGCTAATTTGATTGATGTCCTGAATTTGAAAACCCAGGTGAAAGCCCCTTTGAGATGAGGGCGCATGATGTGCAGCTGTCCGCGACTTGGGCCTGGGCTGCCAAGACTTACAGAAGCCACGAACGTCGCACAGGCCCATAGCTAGCTCTTTTTACTTGAACGGAATTCCTCGTCCGTTATTTAATCAGCCGAGTGTAAATTTAGTTTAAAAATATGCTTCTGCAATGGATATCTGGCTACTTACAGTTACGGTTCAATGACCGTTTTTGTCTTCTTGGCCCAAATAATACAATTTGGAAATATTGCTTACAATTAATTATAACCAATACAGTATATTAAAAAATGGGCATCCGTATTTCTCAGCTTTAAATGATAAGCATCTGTGTTTACACAAGAATGTTCATGGTAGCCAAACAGCCCAGGGGAAACGGAGGAATTTTTAAACGATGCTATATTAATTATTCCACTAAATTACAAAACTGTATTTGCCTCAGATTGAAACACAAAAAGCGGGTTTCTTGTTTACTCTTGCTGCGATTAAACCATCGAAACTTTAGAAGAGTAGCAATAATAGCTCCGATGTAGAGCAAACTACGAATCTGAGCCAAAATGCACGAAATGCATTCTGTTCCAGCGGCTCGATTTTTTTTTATTTCCACCATTCGATCGGCTTGGCGAACGCACAAAGATGCCCCGTTATAGCGAGTGCCCGATGGAGGCCGATATGCCCCTGCCGTCTGCTCTGCCTCGTACCTCAACTGCACGCTCCTACACGACTGCTTGACGCGCGCGCCACCGCAGTCAGGCAGGGAGCCAACCACCACCCACCACCCACCATCCACCCATCACCACCCACCATCCACCATCCACCCATCACCACCCACCATCCACCACCCACCCATCACTACCCACCATCCACCACCAACCACCCACCCGCCCATCACCACCCGCCCATCACCACCAGCCCATCACCACCCACCATCCACCCATCACCATTCACCACCCACCACCCACCCATCACCACCCACCATCCACCCATCACCATCCACCATTCACCACCCACCATCCACCACCCACCCATCACCACCCACCATTCACCACCCACCATCCACCACCCACCCATCACCACCCACCATCCACCCATCACCATTCACCACCCACCCATCACCATTCACCACCCACCATCCACCACCCACCACCCACCCGCCCATCACCACCCGCCCATCACCACCAGCCCATCACCATCCACCATCCACCCACCATCCACCCATCACCATTCACCACCCACCCATCACCATTCACCACCCACCACCCACCACCCACGCCAATGCTGCTCCTCATGCACTCTCATCCGGGCCAGGTAAAGGCTAAATTGTGCAGATGCACGTGGACTGCGCACCTGGGATTCTAACCCTGACCACCGCTGCCCACCGCCAAGTACGATAAACGCCACATGACCGATTCAGAATCGTGAGGTGGCTCCATAGTTCGAGGACCTCGTAAAGCCATCATCGATGTAAGGAGGATTTAGCCCGCAGTGCTAGAATCGCAGACAACATATCCGGACAGCAAAGCGCAATTAAACCAAGTCTTTCAGGCCGTAGAAAGTTGATGGTCACAGCGCGGTCACGGACGACTGCATTCATATAAAAAAAACACATTCCGATAAATTTGGTCAAACACAGCTCTGAGGATTTAAGTGGCAGACACAAAGCTACTCATCTGCACGGCTGGAAGCAGCCCAGTCGTCTGGCACGGATAATTAAGTCAATAATAAAACCCATTGGATATGCTCATGATAGAACACAATTCATTCACTCACTGCCTACAATCTGTTGCGTGTGTTTGTATAGCAGTGCGGCCACAGGCGCTGAGCTAAGATGCCATGTACACATACGCAATGGTTCACTGCTCTCTTACGCGTGTGCATGGTTCAATATTACTCAGGGCTCGTGTAAATAACTCACGTGTGTCTTGCTCACCCGAGTGTCATTCTTCAAAGCAATCCTGAACCGCATGCGCGTTTCACTGATCACTTCCGAATGTTTGCAGCGAAGAATAATTTTGAAATTGGGAGTTTATCAGCGCAGTGTAAAATAGTGTAACATGTGCCGACAAGTGTAAGCCACTGGAGATACAGCTGCTGCCATAGGAGAGATTGTCCAGTCACGTGTTCTCTTCCCAGTGCATGACCGACAGTGAAATCGTGAAAGGAATAAAGAGGTTGATCCACTCCCGATATTGAGCCTTCATCCAGGTTTAAGCTTGCTGAGACGAGACAAAATGTCTGCCAAGGGAGTCCGGTTTTATATACTGTGTATATACACAAACATTTACAGACATGTGAAACATTGGTGCTTAATGCGGTTTTCCAGTATTCAGTATCATATTTAATGTGTGTCAAAATATTACAACAAAATAAAATGCGAGCGCAACGCGCCTCTTGTTTCCGTTACAACCTATATTGGCAAAACAGGCCACAGACTGTCGGCCCTTGGGTAATGTAAACATTAATTGGGTAGAACCCGGTGAGTGATTTCATTCTAAAGCCACAATCGTTTTCTCTCCCCCCCCCCCCCCTCGATGTCTGAATCAAGCATGTGGCACTTGCGTTGACCAGCCATGCCCGTGTAATTTTCTCCGAGTCCCTTGCAGTACATTAATCCTTTCGGCCAGTTTCATAATCATGCGTTTAAAGGCAGTTTTATGTTGCGTGATTAATGTGGACAAAGGGCGCCCTGGTTGGAGATGGCTGGCGCTCGTGAAATGTAGATGCAAAAGCTCCCAATATCCGCTGGCTGGCTGTGTTTTTATCTCCCGAGAGCCGGGGGAACGGTATTTTGATATGAGATCACTTAACTTCCCACTGCATCTTGCACAGGAGACACAACCGGTTGCCCTCCTGCCGCACGGAACAGAATGTGAACTCGCCGTGCGTGGCTTTGACGGGGGAAATGAGCCACCCACCGCACAGCCAAGTAAACAAAACCTGCTGTGACCTCAAACAGGTTTAGGCGATGCTCGCCAAATTGAAAGACAGTTTAGGGGTACATGCGAGCACAACATCCTGGCCTGACACGCTTGTCTATGAGAACGCCAAATGAGGTCTCTCTATCATTCCTCTCTATGTAGCCGCTTTCTAAGCCTCCCTCGTGGCACCTCTACGAGTCTTCACTCTGATTCTCATCAATAATATTTCTCCCCGAGCCATTTCATCTCAAGCCTCAATCATCTCAGCGCGTAAAACGTAACCCGGCATGAAAACGTCTACGGCGAAACTCCGCAACGACAAAGCACACGCGCTTGGAATCCGCTCCAGTGCGGGAAGCCCATGGCACATGCTCTATTAAAAAAAAAGAAGAAAAGATATAATTTCCGAGCAACTCTGTTGCTGCTGCCTATTTTACTGTGGTACGTAAACAGCATCGCGGGCCGTTGCGGCGGAGGAAGAGGGGCAGCCCACTCTAAATGTAAAGTGGAATGTGCCAGCTGTTGCTGGCACCCTGACGGATGTGTTCCATTACGCGTGCAGGAGAGGATCCGTGCTTCGGAAACTCCCTCGGCTGCAGGTGCTTTCCGTGCATCGGCCGAGATGTCGCCAAAGCAGACGCTCAAGGCGCATTAGTGGCTGCTCGCAAGAGAAACCCCCCACCAGCCACCCACCCCACCCCTCAGCCCTCCCCTCCGCCCTCCCCCATCAAGAATTCATGATTCAGGCTCCCGCCTGAGAAAAGCCACGCGCGCATCCCGTGGAATTAAAAATACAATACTGCTTTAAAACAGAATAGCCTCGCCATGTGTGTTGGCGGTTACGAGCAAAGTTACGTCGATGACGGCGGCGATGGCCCAAACAGTGACCAATCTAGCACTTCCATAAGAGGTTTTTTTTTGGGTTAGATCGCGTAAATATATAAATGTGTCGTTAAAGCCCGCCACCACCCGACACAGCCAACTAGTAAGGGTTGTCACGTAAACAGAACGTGGCCAATTCGCCACTAGTACAGCACACCGGTGTGTTGGAGAGCCAAGCCAGAACATTTACAAACGGAGTACGACGTTTCGCCAGTAATTACAACTAGCTTGATCAGGCGATAGCCAGATTTTTGAAGTCTTACCGTTTCGTTCCTTATATAGAGGCGTAGATGTGTTGTGTGCTGTACTAGTGACGAATTGGCCACGTTCTGTTTACGTGACAACCCTTACTAGTTGGCTGTGTCGGGTGGTGGCGGGTTTTTAACGACACATTTATATATGTTTAAGCGATCTAACCCAAAAACCTCTTATGGATGATATTGGTCGCGAAAGCCTACGTGTTAAATCGACTACTCGATGATAAGCAATACAAATGGATGCGGACTGGACGCCCTCGACAAGGGAGCTCGGTGCACTACAGGACTGAAGGTCTCAATCACAGGACGTAGTCAGCTCTTCTGAGACGCTAGATTAGAATAACAGGCTCCCATCAAGATTAAAGCAGCCTCTAAGAGCAAAGCGAGTCTGACAGCCTCAGTGCGGCCACCGACGACTTCGCAAATAAAGCCAATTTCGGTGTAAAAAAAAAACAATTGGAACAAAACATCTCCTGGAAGGTAAATACAGGTGTATTCATAACTGGAAAGCTCGGCACACCTGCCACCGACGATGAACGCCGCAGAAGACCAACGTGGAACATGAGGACAAGAAACGCGTAAAAGGCCCAGGGCAAACCGCAGTGCTGGAAGCCACGCCCGTTCTGCTTCAAGACTTAGGGCTGTCCGGACCTGGGCGGACAGCCAGCGGAACACACGCGTAGCCTCCGGGAGCCTGAAGGAAGGGCCTCTCTCTGCCGACACACGGAACGCTGCGCGCATGTGTGTGTGCCCATGCTTCCTACGCGTGCCCACGCCAGCAAGCCGTGCGTGCGCGCGCGCGGTGTGAAACCCACTCCTGTCGGCTCCACAACAATTGGCGACATCAGCCCCAGCGTCTTCAAGGAGTTGCCGTTCTTTTGTGGTTTCTTAATCGGGTGTTGTGTCCGTTGCTCTGCTACTTTAAATTATCTGCTCATGTTAGCTCTCCGCCACTGATTGAATCCCAGTCGTGCTATCGGGGTCATGGCTAGAGGCGACGACCTGTCTTTTCTGAACCCCCTCAATCAGCGGAGGCTCGCGCGGCGCCGATCATCCCAGAGCTAGGGCTAAGCCGAGTTCAGCGATGGTAATTTTTGGAGAGCGGGTTAAAGCAATTAATTAATTACACTTGGGAGAGAGCCCATTTAAGTATTATCATCTTGAGCCGTAAATTATCCAAGTCATCACAATCTGTCACGGTGTTGCAATGCAACTTTCCATCTGGAGCATGTGCATGAGCTGATCTGGTCAGTACGTGTTCACAGTGGTCGCCCTCTCGGGCACCTTCCTAGCTTTGGCTGCCACTCCATCATCAGTCTCAACCCATAATAGAGGGTTTTTTTGGGTTAGATCGCTTAAATATAAATGTGTTGTTAAACCCGCCATCACCCGACGCAGCCAATTAGTAAGGTTTGTCACGTAAACAAAACATGGCAATTTGTTTGCTAGTACAGCACACCGGGTGTGTTGGAGAGGAAACTCACAGCATTTACAATCTGAGTACGACCTCTAAACCCATCGGACCATCAATCCTTCTCACAATGCATCCCGCCCAAGACCACTTTCTTTTCTTAGCAGTCAACATGATTCCTCCAGTTAAGTTGAACCCAGGATTTCAGCATTGCTGGCTCATTGCTCCGACATGGCCATTATGAGCCGCATGAACCACACAGCCGATGGCGCTTTTCAATTTTTTTTCTAACGAGCGCTCCGTGATATTTTTTTTTATTGCCGTTTAATGCTCTTTACTTCCTCAATGTCGAAGGAATCACACAGCAATTATGCTGGAAAACAATGAAAGGAAATGAAAAAAATCCCAAATCAGAGTCACAAACATTTGCAGCCGTACATTAGCACGCCGGCTAATGATGCGAGACTCTTCTCAATCCGGGTAGTCTGGTGATACGGTCTTTACACTCTTACACTGGGCTAATTTTCAGGGCTCCTAATTGTTCAGGATTACCGACTAAAAAGCCGCGGATAATAAATATAATGACGAATAAACAAAACGGATTGAACAAAATCATTGCATTCGGTACCAGGCCGCCCACCACCGACAGCGCTGGGAGTCGGGGGGGTGGGGGGGGAGAGGTGACATTTCCGTGAGTGTGTGCAGGGGGCGACGCTAGCGTTTGCAGATAAATGACTTGAAAATCTTCCGCGAGACAGCGCCAGCAGCCTTTGACTGCGCCTGCCTGTGCGGCTGCCCGAACCGTGGAAGTGACTAAACATCCCGCGACTCTATCTCGGGGTTCACCTCGACAATCGGCCACGGAACGCCGCGCAACTTTACACTGCCGACTTTGCGGAAGGGGCCGAGGCACACGGTCGCCCGTACCGCGACTGCGAGTTGATGATTTGCCCTCAAAGGACAACAAAAAAAACTAACACGACGGTGTTTCAGAGGACTTGGGATTGAAATGCGATGAACTCGGGGTGGGGGGTGGGGGGGGAGGTGTAAAAGGGGTCACGGTGGGCGTTTCTAGGATGGTGGAAGGAGGACACGCTCGTTGCAGAGACACCGACGATGGTGTCTCTGCAACGAGTCTCACGTGGCTGGAACAAAACTAAATTAGAATTTAGTCTCCCTCTGTCGCTTGGTGGGTGCTTGAACATTGCACCAGAACCAAATTAAAACCCCCGTTTCTGTGTGGTCGATATTTAATTGATAGAACATTTCCTAAGTGCTCATCAATGAGAAACGTTTTCAAATGTTTAATTACAGAATACATTCTAAACTTCATTAATAATGTGATGGTTGTGCCATGTGCATAATGGAGCTTTTGTGGCTAATGGAAGCCAAATGTGTTTTTTTTATCGTAGTAAATTGTTAACTTGTGACAGTGTTAAATTATCAAAATGTTTTTTTTCAACATTTTAATTATACTTTTGCAATTTTTAAATTTTTTACGAGTGCCATAAAAGATGTTTATATCTTCTCATTGTCAGTTGTTACATTTTTACCAGACATTAAAACATATGTCTATCGTACTACTCATAAAAGTAGGCCAGTGTGTTCCTGTGTCATGGAAAATACGAAAATATAATATAACGGACTTTTGCATAGTCTCCTAGACCATAGCTTACAGAATAAATTTAATATCAGATGGGGCTGTCACCTGGTTGTGAATGAAGGCTATTGATTGACAGATCGATCGAGGTAATGAATGACTTCTTAGCTTAGCACTAATGCGTCATGAAACAAGCATTTGAAATGACAATCGACAGGCAAACAGAAAACCCCATTACGATGCAGAAATCGCTGGAACCCTAATCCCAGACCTAAACCCTTCTTGTGCTAACACTTTACTCATGCCACGCTCACTCCCTCCCACACAGAATCCCTCTGCCACACCAACCCACCTCTCCTTTCAACACCACCCACCGCTGCGCACTGCCCCCCCCCCAAACGTACAAATGTGGTCAAGCGGCGGCGACGGTGACGAAGAAACCCCCCCTCCCCCCCTGTCTATTTCTGGATGTCGCACTGGAGCAGGAGCACGATGGACGGGTCGCTGCGTGCCGCCTCCTTGAACTCCTCCAGGGAGATGAGGCAGTCGTTGTTCTTGTCCATCTTGCTGAAGATCTTGTCGACGCGCTGCTCGGGTGTGAGTCCATCCTCGTTCATCTTCATCATGATCACCGTGCCCACCATCTTATAGATGGCCTGCGGAACAACAACGCGTGGACGTTGCGACGGAGTTTACCTTTGTCTCGTTCTTAAATTGGTGGGTTGGACTCTTCAGAGTGTCCTGACCCCTTGCCCTCCCCCCATGCGTAATATGTACAGGTGGATGTAAATACGTTGTAGAAGGCCTACAAAGCGTACATTTGGGACTATTGTAGTCAAATATTTACTTACAATAAATCATAATTGCAGACATTTTGATTCGCTATAATGCACCACGCTGGTCAGTGTGGGTTGTTAAAGGGGGGCCCAAGCACTGGTTCATATATCACCACTGATGTTGTATGTATGTTGAACTTCTTTCGCACCGTACGTAGCCAACTGTGCTAATCGGAGGTGCAGCAGAAGGACAGCAAACTAAAAACAAAAAGTAGTTATAAAGAAATTAGTTTTGACATCTAGATTTAAAGTGTTAAAAGTGGCTGAGAATCAAACTTAGATCACCAGGTTCCTGGTGTAGTATAGTCACCACCCAAATATTTTAAATATGGCCCCAATAAATTATGACCTACAGAATCAATGGTATTGCTTACCGAATAGGGTCAACCTTATGGTAGATTCAGCCCAAGTATTATACATATGCAGTTATACAGTGAGGGAAAAAAGTATTTGATCCCCTGCTGATTTTGTACGTTTTCCCACTGACAAAGAAATGATCAGCCTATAATTTTAATGGTAGGTTTATTTGAACAGTGAGAGACAGAATAATAACAAGAAAATCCAGAAAAAACGCATGTCAAAAATGTTATATATTGATTTGCATTTTAATGAGGGAAATAAGTATTTGACCCCCTCTCAATCAGAAAGATTTCTGGCTCCCAAATGTCTTTTATACAGGTAACAAGCTGAGAATAGGAGCACACTCTTAAAGGGAGTGCTCCTAATCTCAACTTGTTACCTGTATAAAAGACACCTGTCCACAGAAGAAATCAATCAATCAGATTTCAAACTCTCCACAATGGCCAAGACCAAAAAGCTCTCCAAGGATATCAGGGACAATATTGTAGACCTACACAAGGCTGGAATGGGCTACAAGACCATTGCCAAGCAGTTTGGTGAGAAGGTGACAACAGTTGGTGCGATTATTCGCAAATGGAAGAAACACAAAAGAACTGTCAATCTCCCTCGGCCTGGGGCTCCATGCAGGATCTCACCTCGTGGAGTTGCAATGATCATGAGAACGGTGAGGAATCAGCCCAGAACTACACGGGAGGATCTTGTCAATGATCTCAAGGCAGCTGGGACCATAGTCACCAAGAAAACAATTGGTAACACACTACGCCGTGAAGGACTGAAATCTTTCAGCGCCCGTAAGGTCCCACTGCTTAAGAAAGCACATATACATGCCCGTCTGAAGTTTGCCAATGAACATCTGAATTATTTAGAGGACAACTGGGTGAAAGTGTTGTGGTCAGATGAGACCAAAATAGAGCTCTTTGGCATCAACTCAACTCGCCGTGTTTGGAGGAGGAGGAATGCTGCCTATGACCCCAAGAACACCATCTCCACCGTCAAACATGGAGGTAGAAACATTATGCTTTGGGGGTGTTTTTCTGCTAAGGGGACAGGACAACTTCACCACATCAAAGGGACGATGGACGGGGCCATGTACCGTCAAATCTTGGGTGAGAACCTCCTTCCCTCAGCCAGGGCATTGAAAATAGGTCCTGGATGGGTATTCCAGCATGACAATGACCCAAAACACACGGCCAAGGCAACAAAGGAGTGGCTCAAGAAGAAGCACATTCAGGTCCTGGAGTGGCCTAGCCAGTCTCCAGACCTTAATATCCCATAGAAAATATTTGGAGGGAGCTGAAGGTTCGAGTTGCCAAACGTCAGCCTCGAAACCTTAATGACTTGGAGAAGATCTGCAAAGAGGAGTGGGACAAAATCCCTCCTGAGATGTGTGCAAACCTGGTGGCCAACTACAAGAAACGTCTGACCTCTGTGATTGCCAACAAGGGTTTTGCCACCAAGTACTAAGTCATGTTTTGCAGAGGGGTAAAATGCTTATTTCCCTCATTAAAATGCAAATCAATTTATAACATTTTTGACATGCGTTTTTCTGGATTTTGTTGTTGTTATTCTCTCTCACTGTTCAAATAAACCTCCCATTAAAATTATAGACTGATCATTTCTTTGTCAGTGGGCAAACGTACAAAATCAGCAGGGGATCAAATACTTTTTTCTCTCACTGTAGTAATTACATTTTTGTTGCTTCAGATATCTTGCACGACAAATAGCAAGTGGGGTAGAACAGTAGTACAGGAGTTAATGAACCTGGTGACCTGAGTTTGATTCTTGGCCGTGGCGAACGCGGGTTGGCGAGTGATAGCCAAGCCAATCCTGGGCCACCCCCTTTATCAGGAAACCTTCACCGAGTCTCAAGACTGCATTGGGGTGTTTGACCAATTCCATAATTTTATCTTTGGCATATGTTACGAAACTGGAGTAAATGGAGAAAACGCAGGCACATTAAGGTATAATATTCGAAGCCCTACAGAGATCGACTCAAGAATCCAATGACGTACTGCTGTTTGCTGAATACCATTTAAACATGGATCTACAGCTGAATTTAAATGTCTCAAATAAAGAGTAACCATTCCTTGTAGGGAGATACTGATTGTCCTTTAATTAAATTGGCAAAGATTCTTGAGGTGAGATTCATTAATACTTGCTTGTGCCTTATCTCGTACCCTTGATGTATAACTGTGCCACAAAGCATCTGGAGATCTTGAGCTAACGCTATTTCAAACCGAATTGAATTGTATCGAAAGGTTAGACAATTTTGGAAACAGGTCACGTCCTTGCCCAGTGCACTCATGTGCTGTCTGTGTGTACACACATCACATATTTTATACACTCTGCGTTGCTGCATATCGACGAGCGTCTCTCCTCTGGGTAGGGATTCGTCAAATCAGATACGGGTCAGAGCAATTCCAAGCGCTAATATGAGGAGTGCCGGTGCCTCCGTGAGAGACAGCGAGGCGTTGCGAGCCGGCGAATGAAGCCGTCAGCGGAAGTACAACTGCCGAGGTCCCGCGGAGCCAAGGCTCGTGGCAAATCAGCCATACTTCACCACGCGGTCAGTGCGAGTTGGTGAAGGGAGCACATTTTGTGTCGCTTCACGCCGAGTACGTGACTTGTATGGGTGCTCCTATCCGGTACAGCTACTCGGGTCTACGTGTCTCATGAAGAGAGTGCCCCAAGATGACGGAGCAGCGTGTGATTGCAGGGCGACTTGGAAGGATGCCACATTGGGGTAGGCGTAGCGATCAGGGTGTCTGTCACTCAGCCAGTTTGCTCAGAGGCAGTGGTGCGATTCCTGCTGCCTCTGCTCGGTAATTCATATACGAGGTAATTACCAAAGTTATTTGCGAATGACCACAGATGGAATATTTGAAAATACCTTGTTGACAAATATTTACAATGTGTGATGTTGTCATCACTATCAGTCAACAAATCACGAGTGTCTGATGTTCTCAGTACATTTGCCAGACTGCACACGCAAATACTGTCATTGAATGTTGGTTTTCACGTCATTGAGCAAACTCCCACTCTGAGCAAAATGCAATGTTCAAGTTGATTGCCAATGCGATGAACGCTCTTTACGGGGCATATTGAAGCGTTGTCTACATGTTGGTAAGAAATCTATTGAAGTGACTCCAACATTTTTAGGTGGTGTTATATTCCACGGGCTTTTCCAATCGTATCAATGCCATTGTAATGTTTCTTCGTTACGCACTAAAGCTTTGCTGAGTCTTACATTAATAATAAGGGCTTTCCCCCTTTTTTCTGGCAATAAAACTGAAACCTTTTTACAAGGATTCATGTCTGCATTAACCACAATACTTGCAGTCAAATGCAAACAAAAAATACACACTATGATAATATATGCATTGTCCTTGAAACTGATTGGTCCACACCAAGGGACGGCTTTCTTTTGAGCCTCCACCCAATTGGTTAATGCAGACATGAATCCATGTAAAAAGGTTTCAGTTTTGTTGCCAGAAAAAAAGGGGAAAACCTGATTATTATATTATGGTACTGGCAAAGGAGGTCTAATGATGTAGAGTCTTACATTATTTTCCAGAGGGTGCTACGGTGAAATTTAGTGGATAATTCCCCTTATAAGTTTGGTGAGGAAACCGGAGTTCCGGGGGGGGGGGGGGGATCAATAATTTGAGAAGGTAACGCTCAAACCTCCGCACAGATTTATGAATACATTTCTTTATTACCATGGGTTTGGCCAACCCCCTGCCCAAGCCTACAACACCTGGTGTTCCCTTATTCTACATCCAAGTATTAGCCAGGCTCACTCCACCTTAGCTTCCGAGATCTGACAATATCTGGGGCATTCAGGGTGATGTAGCCTGAGCCAAGATGTGATGTACTGCCAACTGTGAGAGTTTGACATGGAAGAGTTTTGTCCCGTGTCCTGATACCAATACAATTTACAGTCCTCTATCAATCCACCGGCTTGATGAAGGCCTCCTCACACCGTGTTGGTCACTGGGATTATTTGACCATACTTCACCACGTTGATTAGTTTGAGTTGGTGAAGGCGGGGAGCATAGTTGTTGGGACATAACACAGTGCAACAGTGGATTTTTTTTTCTCCCCACAGGCACTCAAAGTGAATTTGCAACATAACCGCGGATGAAATTAATCAGAGCGCGATGGCAAGTGGTGGGCGAGTGCGGGGCGGGTGGGGGTCGAGTGGGGCGGGGGCGAGAGCGGCACCTCGATGATCTCCAGCATCTCGACGCGTGAGATGTATCCGTCCCCGTCCAGGTCGTACATGTTGAAGGCCCAGTTGAGCTTCTGCTCGAAGTTGCCGCGGGACGTGACGCTCAGCGCGCAGATGAACTCCCGGAAGTCGATGGTGCCATCGCTGTTCTTGTCGAAGGTCCGGAAGGCGTGCTGGGCGAACTTGGACGCGTCGCCGTACGGGAAAAACTGATGGGGGGTTTTTTTTGTTTCATTCAGGGAGAAGAGAAAGAGATCGAGGAAGACACGAGGCAGACGGAGAGAGGGAGAGAGACAGAGAGGGGACAGACAGAGAGATAGAGAGATGAGAGAGAGAGATGAGAGAGCGAAAGAGCAACAGAGAGATAGCGAGATGAGAGAGAGAGAAACAGAGAGGAGACAGACAGAGAGATAGAGAGATGAGAGAGAGAGAGACAGAGCAACAGAGAGATAGAGAGATGAGAGAGAGAGAGACAGAGAGGAGACAGAGAGATAGAGAGATGAGAGAGAGAAAGAGCAACAGAGAGACAGAGAGATGAGAGAGAGAGAGAAAGAGCAACAGAGGAAAATGCAGAGACAGATACAAATATAGAATTGAGATAGGATGACGGGATTTATTTATTTATATGACATCTTTAAAACGTTAATGGCAGTATATAGCAGCACAGAAAGTAGGCAACTGACCAACTGGTTTCATTTTGACGGCTCACTTATCGAGAGTTAGAATCGCATCTGGTCGGATGACTCTTTTGCACGAGGGTCTTCCTCTCCAATCTTCTCCTCCTTACTAATTATGCCATGTAAACTGTTGAGTGATGCTGCTGCCTCCCAGCACTTACTATAACTTGGCAACAGAAGTTATTGAGTGTTCCTGTTTAATAATGGAACGACTGCTTCTGCATGCCATTGCATCCGGGAACAAGTGCCCTTGCTGCACGGCGCAGATGCCAATAGCAGTAGAACCCACAGCTGAGTTCAGAGTGCAGGAGGCTACACACGCGCACACAGCTGGGAAAAAAAGCCCACACATACTCCAAATAAATGTCCACGCAGAGCCCTTTTCTCAATCCACTTACCGGATGAGTAACGGTTCGTTGGAGCAATTCGACCGTGATTCACCACGTTGGTCAGTGCGCGTTGGTAAAGGTGGGAAACAGAAGCTTAGGGAAACAGTACAGGGCAAACAACAATATTGCTGCACTGCCCCGTGCTGATTACATAGCCCTCCTGCAGCAGCCTATAGCAAATGGTTTATGCATTATGCCCAACCTGGCACTATCCGCGCTCGAGTCTTCTGAGCTTCTGAGATCTGATGAGGTCGGGAATTCTCGGCGATTTCAAATGCAAACGCAATCAACGGGAAAAAAAAAACAACAGTAATGTGATGACGGAGTTATAGGTCTGATGACGCGGCCATGATGAGGCAATCGAGGCTGTGGATTATGCCTTAATGCCAAACTACTGTTTTTTCATTAAATGAAAAAAAACCCTTCTTCCCAGAAGCAGAATGTGACTCAAGAACTTGCGGATGCAATCGCGGTCTGCTTGCACACCGATGCCCCGAGGCCTAACTGAGAGTCGCATGTAAACCTGTCAAAATAGTAATAAAAACAAATGCTGCGTGGCACGGGTCTGTGCAAGAGATGAGGCTTAACGCCCACGCTCAAAAGATTTCTCTCCTTTTCAATTACCGGCGAGTCATTACCGCATTACATGGCGTATTGACAAGACCGCACCGCAAGACACATCTTCATTTCTTCGTCCTCTCTTGCAGAGGGCAGCCTAATTGAGCTGCTTACAACTCATTTCCAAGCAAAGGGCCACATTGTCTCTCTCACTTCTTGGCAAATATATCAACGATTGTCCATTTTATAATACCACTTAAAACACCGGGCATAACCTCTTCTTGCTAATAACCCACTTAATATTTGTAAATGCTCGTACTCCTTAGCACGAATATGAAACTCACTAAAACGGGCTTGTAATTTCTGCGCTATCTTGGCCCCAATTCGTTTCCATTTCTCGCATGTCCGACCATGTTAAACCTTGTTTAAACATATTTAGAAATTATATTGTCTCTGACAACACTGCAGACTTTTTCTTCTTTGGTTTTTTTCGGTAAAGTCACGTAGAATGAGAATAAAATAATAAATTAATAAAATAAAATAACACAATAAAATTCTCACGACGTTTCGGCCACAACACAAGTGGCCTTTCACAAGTGGCCTTGTGTTGTGGCCGAAACGTCGTGAGAATTTTATTGTGTTATTTTATTAATGTATTATTTTATTCTCATTCTACGTGACTTTACCGAAAGAACCAAAGAAGATGAATCCTTGCAGTCACGAAAGCTTTAAATCGAAATTTAACCGCAGACTTTCTTGATAGGACTTTGATAACGGCAACTTTCTCTGCTATGAAATCCTAATTTCGGTAAGGCTGACTGGCTTCTGGGCAAAAACACTAAACTAAACAAAAACAGAACCTCGTGCCTGTATGACTTCAAATTCCCAAATAGATCAACTACAAGTTATTCCTCAAATAATATACACCAAGATTAAAATAAAGTAATTTTTTACATCGCATGGCACTGGGAAAATCTACAATGTAATGACCAAAGACAAAGACACAGATCCCCCGTATAGCCATAACAGACTGTTTGGGCAAGTGCTGTGAGCGAGCACCTATGAAGGCCAGAGGGGGTGGGTGGCCAGCACCACGCCTGGCCGCCTTTGTCTCCCCAGTGACGATGTTTACACACCACATTAGTTACTCATTTGAGGCTGAGACGACCTAGGGGAGGCGCAGGACCGGGTCAAATAATCGTCACTGGTGTTGGCTGTGAGTGGGAATCGAACTCGGGTCGCTGGGTTCATAGCGCAGCACGCTACCGCTCCCCACAATGCAATGGGCACCCTAAATGAGATGCACACGTTTTAATAGGCTGTTCTAACCACAAAGGCTACATACATTTAAATATGCATGTGGTGGAGAACTTTAAAATAAGGTATAATCTCATTTTTAATTATTTGCCATTGCCCTCAGATTCACATGTTTTCAACTGCTGTTTTAATATAACTTATTTTCCCAGATCGTTACAGTTGTGGCAATATACTTGTCTGGATTGGATTACATCATTCAAGTTTGTTCCTCCGTTATTCATGGGGTTTATCTCGCCTGGTATACAGGAGGTCGTGGGTTCGATCCCAACCCTGTCTCTCTCCCCATGGTCTCTTGGATTTTTCTCTGGGTCCTCCGGTTCCCCCCCCCACGCGTTTAAAACAATGCGCGTTTAGAGGATTTGGCTGCTACAAATTTCCACGCGATATGCCACTTCGTTGAGCTATAATTTGTGGCCTAGTCGCTTCTGAAAAAGAGCCATATAGCTCATCGGGCCTGACTTGATAAAATAAAAAAATGTTACCTAGGATTTGTTCCAGAGGATGTGGGTGGGGGGGGGGGGGGGGGCTGTACATTGGGCCACGCAAATAGAGTTTCAAGTCGGTATCCGCTCTAGCACCTCAGTGCCTGGAGCGTGCCGTTGCAGTGAGCTCAAGAGGTCTGTGCATAAATGGATGCCACGTCTGTTGTTTTTGGAAGTCTGCAGCCTTCTCAGTTTATAGCCGAGGTGTTCAATTGAGGCGAGACGGCACAGGGCATTGCACCAGTGGGGTGTCGTAGGTGGAGCGCTCCTCGTGCGGTTTCCATGCATCAAGGATGGCTTTGTGGGCTTTGAACACATTAAATCTTGCTCATATTTTAATTCCTCTCGGCTTTTTTTCTTCTTTCTCTAAAATATACTTTGGAGTTCTTTGACACGATCCACCGCTAAAGAGATTATACAAGAACACAATAATAATATAGTGTGCCTTGTGACTGCTATTTGGGAGATTGAACTGGACAACAACACGACAAGTACCGGCCTCTCTAGCGCTGTTTTACTAACTTGTTGGTGCCTTGAAGGAGGGCCGTTGCACAAAACGTCGCCTGCTTTTGTTTTCCCTTTTAAGGTCGCGGCGTTGTTGGCCAATGTGTTGAGTTTATTTGTACAACAATTATTCGGTGCTCATTGCATTTCCTGCTCAGTGCCTAGAAATGATTTTTTGCATTTCACTGCTGCGCAATGAACAAAATCATTGTCACAGTAAAGTATCACATTACACGTGACAGGGCAGTTGGCTTTACCAGCAGTCAGCAGACTTAGTCCCGAAGACATCCATCACCGACTTAAGCAAATACATTTAAACAAAGCTGCAAGGGACTACGTTGGCCGTGGTGCACAAGCGCAAGCAGATAAACAAAAAACCTTGCCACATTTATCATAAACACTGCGGCATTGCAGGAAATGGAAAAAAAACCCGCACAATAGGCTAACTTTTCATAGTCGTGGTTGTTGAGCACGGGCCTGTAGGCTCACCAAAAAAAATATATACCAAGCGCCAAGCAACAAACTGCGATATTATAGTCGTGATAGATAAGCGTTAATACTTTGTTGAATTGAGCAAGGGTTCGTTTTTCGAACTTTGGAAAGAGAGACGATGGGAGGAGGGAATTGGAAAGTCAAGCAGTGTGACGGTATAAGTATAACGAATGGAGTTAGTTTAACGATGGGCCTTTAATCCCTACCCACCGACGTTGTCAGCGTTCCCACGATAAAGTTTCGTACGTTCATTCAAGAATGTTACGTTTACTACAAATCAGTTTATATGCACATTATATTTTCGACTTTTCTGAGGTTTTTCCTACTACTTAATGTGTATGAACGAATAACTGCCCATGTCAACTATTTAAAAAAAAAATCCCTAAGTGAACCACAGTGTAACGTTCGATCTCCAACTATAAAACCAGTCACTCTTTCTGCTCTCTTGCTCTGCTCCTCGGAAGAAGCACCACCGCTCCAAACATCGGACTATTATCACCATCATCATCAGCCATGAACAATCTGCTGTTGGATGAACGCCTCCCCAAACTGTCGCCATCTCTCACCATCCTGTGATACACCAATGCACCCAGCACCTGCACACAAACTCATTTCATTATTCCATCTCCCCCGGGTAGACGTCCTCTCAAAACGTGCTCCATCCCTTGGCTGCCACTCTGCCCTTGGATTCGCCCATTGACCATCGTCCCTCCTGGCGACAACCCGCATTACTTTCCTTAACAATTATAATGATGTCTTTAACCTGCATATGTTCTCTAATCCGTGCGTT